AACTCCCAGAATTCCCCAGCCCATGCATGGGCTGGGGAATTCTGGGAGTTGAAGTCCACACTTCTTAAAGTTGCTGAGGCTGAGAAACACTGGTGTAAAACATACTCCTATTGCTATTAGTTCACCACCTCTGGCTGTGTACAAGAGGCTAACTGTCAATATCACCAGTGTGGTCCTTGATTCTGGGTTTGGCCAGTGTTTTCTTCAAACAGTGCAAAGCAAAGTATAGACTTATCATTTTTCTGCCATTTTGTCCATCGCTGTATCTACAATGTTGTCTAAATAAGGGCACATGTTTCTCTATCCTTCTAAACAAAAATATTTCACCTGGTTTCTTTGCTAAGGTGCCCAGCTTCAGAAGACAGAGCAAGATGACCATTGCAGGTTTCATAGGCCTCTCGTTCTCAACCCAATGTTCTATAAATGTGTTGGGACTCCTAGCATCCAAATTAGCAAGACTGAAGGACAGCAGGTTGTGGAAGGCTGTGATAGGGGGTTAGAGCAAGCAAAGGAAGGTCATTAATGTATTCTAGTAGAGAGAAGGTGAAGGAAGTTGTAACTCTTTGGGGATAAACTATAAGTATTACTAGACAATCCTGTGACGTGTTGGGTCATCGTTTGAGAGAAAGGTAGTGCGGTCTGATGTGATCAGAATGAACATTACATTTAACCTGACCATATTATTTTTTACCCCAATGCTGGACAGATCTTATGATCATCTAAGAAGAGTATATATCATAAATGGAAAAATAATTGTAGTGGTAAATGAACGTCAGTAATAAGTCCATATTTTAGGTAAGTAAATATTGACTTACTATTGAAGTTCATTTGCCACTACAATTATTTTTCTGTTTATGATATATACTCTTCTTAAAGTGTATATCATAAATATATGGATCAACAGGATGACCACGGGTGGGCTAAAAAGCAGTGGGAGCAACTTACAACTTCCTGCCGGCTTCCCAATTGACACCACTTGTGGGAAGCTGACAGGGAGCATTGGAAATCACGATCACGTGACCGTGGGGATGCTGCAACGGCCACAGCTTTGCAAATAAAATTGGTCTGAACATCGTGGAAATGTCAGTTCCACAGGAGTCATGGGTCCCAGATTTTTTACACATTCTTTAAGTTAGCAGATTTTAGGTTGTTGTTGTTTAGTCGTTAAGTCGTGTCCGACTCTTCGTGACCCCATGAACCATATTGCGCCAGGCCTTCCTGTCCTTCACTGCCTCCCTGAGTTTGCTCAGTTTCATGCTCATTGCTTCAGTGATGCTATCTAACCATCTCATCCTCTGCCGTCCTCTTCTCCTTTTGCCTTCAATCTTTCCCAGCATCAGGGTCTTCTCCAAAGAGATCTCTCTTCGCATTAGGTGACCAAAATATCTGAGCTTGAGCTTCATTATCGATCCTTCCAATGAGCAATCAGGGTTGATTTCCTTTAAGATTGACTGGTTTGACCTCCTAGCAGTCCAGGGGACTCTCAAGAGTCTTCTCCAGCACCACAGTTCAAAGGCATCAATTCTTCGGCGCTCGGCCTTTTTTATGGTCCAGCTCTCACAGCCATACATTACTACTGGAAGATTTTAGGTACCTTGATTCAAAAATTGTTGTGGTATAACACACTGTTTGGGCTAATGAGGGTACAGACAGACAAACATAATTAAAGTTTTAGGAGTATATAGATATTATGTTCTCATCTAGGACATGGGGAAGCTCAAAGTCCACGTAGGCCACTGTTTTGGGGGACAGATTATTGCCAGCCCTAACATTAGGCAAAGGGAAAGAGTTGCCATAGGTGACATTATGGTAGAAATTATAACAGTTTCTCTGCTGTTTCACACAAGATACAAGGCTATTCCTTTCTTTTATAGGGCAGTTGTGTGTATGTAGGACAAAGTATGGTATGGAAAATCCTGTCCTGTTTCTAAGGTTGGAGGAAAATAGAAGTAAGCATGATGGTAGGGGGAAGGGGGCCATCGTATCCTTTGCCAGAGAGGGCCACATATTATGGGCTGTTCTTGAGAAGCCCCTGCAAACCAGTTCGGAGATTAGGGCATGTTTTGTTGTGTCTTTCAGGATTCTTGGATTTACTTCGAATCATATTTTAAAAGGATCCTAAAGCATGTAAATCACTCCAGTGCCTTTTGACCCCGTGGCCAGAATGCAGGAACCTGGGAGCGGGTGGGTGTACTTTGGACTGAGTAGAAAGCAGCGAGGCATTTCTGCCTTCACAAGAACTAGAAACCAACTTTTGAAAAGGAAGAAGCACCATCCAGAAAGGGATGGGACTTCTCAGGAGGACCCAAACCTTCTAAACTTTCACTACTGTCCCCATCACCTGCATAATACAGTTAGAACACTAAATCCTTTCTGGCTTCAGATGAAGGCTGACAGATTTGGTGACCTGCAACAACAGCAGGTACACCGGATGGCCAGGTGGTAGGACTACCTTATCGTCTTCAGTTTTGTTAATCATCTACCTGCTTCGTATTTCCGGACAACTAGTTTCCTGCTCTGAGTCAGAAACAGCTTGCAGTGAAAGGCTACTATCCAAAGAACCCATTTTGACACCCACGGCGGGCTGCTTCACCCTTTCCCTCAGGCAAACACTCCTCTAGGTTATGTCACCAACTTTGCATTCTTCCATGAGAAAGCTCAGGGAGGAAAGCTTCTGACGGAGAAGGAATGTTAGCAGTTCTCCTGCCCTTCTGCTGCTGCTGGGTTTCCCTGTCCTGTCCTAGATTTAGCAAAAGCGGAGAGCTTCAAGGCAACTCCCTAAAGAAATGGCAGAACTCCACCCTCTACTGAGAGGGGACCTCTAACCATTTGCTCAAACTGGGTGTTCCTGCACTTCGGGGCAGTGCCTAAACGAACGCAGTACCACACCCACGTAGGCTTTCTGATCAGCCTCTCAACACACCTTGCTTTCTGTCAAGCTAATCTTTCCTGTTGCCTCTTCGCCCCGCTGAAGGAGCCACCATGCCAGCACTTCAGTTCAACGGCCGCTCCTTGATTTCTCTGCTGGGGATTATTCGGTTGTTTGAGATTTTTCTCTCCTGCACCGCCTTCAGCTTAGTCGCTGCCTGTCAAAACTACAATGACAACTATGGGACGTGGTCAATGTTTACATGGTGCTTTTGTTTTATTGTTTCCATCTTTGTGGTGGTCATGGAGCTGATCGGACTGAACGCGTCCCTGCCTCTTTCCTGGCAGGACTTCAGCTCTGCCTTCGCCATGCTAGCCACTCTTATGATCTTCACTACTTCCATTGTCTACCCAGCAACCTTCACATCACATTGCAAAAGCTACAACTGCGGATACGAGATTGCAGCCACTGTCATGTCTTGCCTCTGCTTCATTGCCTACGCAGCCGAAGTAGGACTGACCCAGGCCAAAGCAGGGGAGCTCAGCAACTTCTTGACTACCATCCCTGGTCTCCTAAAGGTATTTGAGGCCTACCTAGCCTGCCTCATCTTCTCCTTGCTGGACAGCTATTCTTTTTACAACAGGTTTCCTGGTCTGGAATGGTGTGTGGCTGTCTACTCCATCTGCTTCATTCTCACCATGGTGATTATCATTCTCACCATTGGACGCTGCCTTGGTTCCCTGCCCATCCCTGTGGAGAAGACTCTGGTGGCCTACAACATCTTGGCTGTACTCCTGTACCTTACAGTGGTAGTCCTGTGGCCTTTCTATAGCTTTCGAAATAATTCAAGGCCTTCGTGTAATCACAATCCTAGGGGTTGTATCATTTGGGACAATCACCTGGGAATTACGTTCCTCTCCTTCTTCAACCTTATTGCCTACGTTGTGGACCTTGTCTATTCTTACAAACTGGTTTTTGTGACCACACCAGCGTAGATTGCTCATGCAACCATCCCACCCATGAACATATGTATGTGTCGAACCCATTTGCTTACGCTGCTGGACATGCTGGGTTGTAAGAACAATGCTCCAGGAGTACCAGAGGATACTGATATCTGTGGTGGTGGTGATGGTACTTTTAATGTTATACATACACAATTTAAATTTTGGATTGTTTTATTTTATGCTTGAGGTCATGTTGGATGGACAGATCCCATTTCCTAAAGGAGTTGACTCTGCCTTCATTCTCCACAAGACTTCCATGAATTGCACATGGATTAGATGTGAGTCCTTCAGGTTTGGCTAAACATCTGAGCCAGGCCATAAATTTTGGAGCAACCAGTGTACCATAATTATTCCAACTTCTGTTTTAAAAGCAGCAGCTGTGAGAAAAGAGAACACTGTGAGCAAGAGAGGGAAATATCAGGAGTGGAGAAGAAGCTGAGACCTCCGCAGAAAGAACATTCAACCATTGCACTGTGTTCAGGACACACATTTTCCCCCCATGTGTGCTTTACAGGAATGTTTTCTCACCTCTTGACAGAATATCCTAAGGAGGTCAGATGAAACCTGAGATACCACTCCAGAATATGGAGAAGTGCATTGTATTGCTCTACCAAGCAGTCAACTAAAACATGGCTTATTGCATTATGGATTGTTGAATAAACCACAATTGGCTGGTTCACACAATAAAAAGGAAAAGTCTTCCTCAAGTTGAACTTGGATACATCTAGGTAGTCTTCTTGGCAACAGTGTGAAATTATTTTGGCATTGTCTTCTTTGGGATGTTTTTTCAACTTCAACTCTCCAGTCTAGGCTGGAATTTTCTGGGGATCTCTAAGTATTAGCCCCATCTGGCCCTGCCTGAAGAATTGTCCCATGGACTATCCCTGATAGACAGACATAAAGGTGAAGGTAAGATCTCCTCTGAGTTGAGTTCAACTGCTGGTGACTTTATGGACATGGTCATGTTTTGTGGGCAACAATATGGAGGTGGCTTGCCATTGTCTTCTTATAGGATAGGTTTGGGCTTTTTTTTTTCTTCCTAGCTTAGCCTACAGCTGTGGGTTATCTTGCTAGACTTCCCTCTAGGTACTGTGGAGAAGCAAAGAGATGACCTTGGAGAAGATATGTGGAGATTGTTATAAGCTCAAACTATTAGTACATGAGCTCAGTTTGAGCAAACAAGAAAATGTGAGAAAGAAACTTTCTTGAGGTAGGCTAGGTCAGGAAACAGACACCACAAGAAATACTAAAATTCTACTTTATTGATGAAGTATCTTGAAAGCCTGACAGTGTTTCCCTTTCTCTCCCTCTTAGACCAAAGAGAGTCAAAGCAGGGCAGTCTTAAGCCCCTTTCTCAGGGTCCCCAAACTGAGTTCATATTTTACTAAAGGTTGTTGCATAATTTCTCAAGGTCATCTCTGTCCTCCTCTACACTACTAGCCGAGCCTCTTTGAGATTGGCCAAGACTGCTTCAGCGCGACCACCTGGTGGGACCAGTTCACACTGTAAGCAAAGCCAAAGACCATGGTTTACAAACCAGGAGCTGAGTTCATACAACATGCTAAACTAGAATGCAACATAAAACTCACATCATATGCATTCAGGACCAATGTGCCAATTGTCAGTACTCTTATATAATTTTATTAAGATTTTAATAAAGAAAGATTAAAAACTAACAGAAACGAATACCAACCTGGCCTTGGATGATCTCAACCATCTAGGGAGGATCAGACCTTGTTAGTATCTGGATGGGAAAATTCAAGGCAGTGGACAAGGTTGGGAAGTCAAAAAACATCCCAAAAGAAGACCGGGCCAAGCCACGTCTGTTCTGTTGTCCAGAAAGCAACATGTCCATGACGTTGCCAAGAAGATAGCTTAAATTGAAGGAGACTTACCTTTTATTAATTATACTGGGTTTGTAACTAATTTAGGGCCTCAGATAAATAGCTGATGAAGGGATTACACATAGACACATGGATGTACACATTATGCGGTGAGTTACACTTCTTGAATATATAGATCTTTTCAGTTGTGCTGATAAGCAATAAAGAAGGTGAGTTTTCAGGAGATAGGTGGGAAAGGTGCTGTTAAGTTTCAACTATCCAAACTTCTTCATAGACACAACATTTCTAAGGCTTACAGTAACCCCCTGTGAGATATCAGTGTAACACTCCCCATATGAACAGTTGGGGTAGAGATGAATGGGTTGAATCTGACAGACAGTGCCTGGCCTTCTTTTCTAAGCAGAGTTCATTGAATGAACCAGTTGATTGGGTTCACACAGCATGCTAAGCCAAAGATAGGATTAGCATGATCTCTGAACCTGGCTAGTAGCTTATCTAATGCCAGGCATATCACTAAGCGTGCTTTCCACGGGGTCCTTGCTAAACCCAAGGTATCTCTGGTGATCCAATAGCATAGAAAATTTTTCATGGGAAGTCTCTCTAGAAAATAAAGAAGGTTGTATTGAATAGCCAAGGACAAGCATTTCTGGTCTGAAAGGAACTTGTTTCTGCCACTAAATATACCCTAGTGAACACTGGCATCAATTTACCATTGTTCATAATGCCTCTCTGCAACTATTTCATTCCAATACAAGAGAATATCGGTAGCTCAGGGTTGAACTGTGGAGTTGTACTGATGATGTTACCTAGTTGGGTCATGAAACATCTGTAAGCAAACAACCAAGCTCAGAGAGCACCAAGGACTCCACAACTATGTCATTATTCTTTCTTGAATATTTGACCACTGGTTGACTTGGCATGATATCAACCACTTGGTTGTCTTAGTAAGTATATGATCCCTAGTTGGCTGGGATGGTAAAGGCTGAGAGTGGTGATCCATGCAATACACCCATTAGAAATGGTGTACTCATGGTATCATGAGATTGTACACCTGGAGGGGGAGGACTAAAGCACTGCACCTGTTCAAGTTTCACTTGAGAAATGAGAGGTGGAGTATTGGTTGCTCAGCAGCCAAGGAAAATCCCTTATCACAAATATGCAAAGGAATCTCAGTCTAATTACAACATCCCAGCATTGTCTGGCCAAGATGAGAGAGTTTGTGACTAGCTGTAACTCCCATGCCAGTGCAGAACTGCTGCAATCATAGCTCTCGAATCATGAGTTGTATGAACAGTATGACATATTTACATACAGGTAGTCCTCACTTAACAACTGCAATTGGGACCAGAAAGTCCATCACTAAGCGATGCATTCGTTAAGTGAAACATTACATGATCGCACCAGACTTACGATGTCAGTTGTACTGCGGTTGTTAAGTGAGACATTGCATGACCATGATTTGCAACTCACCACTGGCCTCTCCATTGACTTTGCTTGTCAGAAGGCAGTTGTGAAGAGCGCAAATGGCAATCATGTGACTGTGGGATGCTGCAATGATCGTAAGTTCAAAGTCTGGTCATAAAACTACTTTTTCAGTGCCATCATAAGTTCAAACAGTCGCTGAACAAGGCGCTCATTAACCGAGGACTACCTGTATAAGATTTATCCTTTTATCCTTGCCCCCTGGGGTTGTTGAAGAAAGTTTATTCCAAGTGGAGGTTTTTTAGATTTTTTTTTATCCCGCCTTTCTTATTTTTATAAATAACG